CACTTTTTTTTTTTAAAGATTTTATTTATTTATTTGACAGATAGAGATCACAGGTAGGCAGCGAGGCAGGCAGAGAGAGAGAGAGGAGGAAGCGGGTTCCCCACTGAGCAGAGAGCCCGATGTGGGGCTCGATCCCAGGACCTTGGGATCATGACCTGAGCCGAAGGCAGAGGCTTTAACCCACTGAGCCACCCAGGCGCCCCCCACACTGTCTTGATTACCATAGCTTTGCAGAAAGTTTAGAAATTAGGAAGTGTGAGTCTTCCAGCTTTGTTTTTCTTTTTTCAGATTGTTTGGCTATTCTGAGTCTCTTATATTAACATACGGATTTTAGGATCAGGCTGTGAATTTCTATGAAAAAGAACACACTGGCGTCTTTATACGGATTCAGCTTAATCTGTACATCAGTTTGGGAAGTGAGTCTTCCAATCCAAGAAACACATAGCATAGGGTGCTATTTACGTATCAGTCAGATTTATTGGGATATAGTTCATAGACCATACAACTCACCCATTGAAGGAGTGGACAACTCAGTGTTTCTAGTCTGTTCACAGAATTGTACAACCATCACTACAGTCAATTTTAGAATATTTTCACCACTCCCAAAAGAAACCCTGTACCCTTTTTCACCATTCTGTTCACTCATTCCCCATTCCACCTCACCCCCAGCCCTAAGTAACCACTAATCTGCTTTCTGTCTCTATAGGTTTGTTTATTCTAGATGGTTCATATACATGGAGTCATGCAATTTTGTCTTTTGTGTTTGGATTATTATTTTTTTTTTTTTGAGAGAGAGAGTGCACGCACACATGAGCAGGACAGGGGAGGGCTGAGGGAAAAGGGGAGGGAGAAGCAGACTCCCCCAGAGCAGGGAGCCTGACTGTGGGCTCCATCCTAAGACCCTGGGATCATGACCTGAGCCAAAGGCAGACACTAACTAACTGAGCCACCCAGGCGCCCCTGTTTGGATTTTATTAGTATCATATTTGTGAGGTCGTCTTTCTGGAATCAGTACTTCCTTCCTTCTTATGGTTGAATATATCATGTTTTGTTTACCCATCTGCCAGTTGATTGACATTTGGATCATTCCCACTTTGGGCTATTATGAATAATGCTGCTATAAATATTCATATACAAGGTGGTGGACCCATGTCTTCATTTCTCCTGGATATATACCCAGGAGTAGACTTGCTGGGTCATTTGGTAACTCTGTGGTCAACCTTCTGAGGAACTGCTGCACTGTTTCCTAAAACGCCCACTCCGTTGTGCATTCCCACCATTTCTCCACATCCTCACCGACACTTTACTATCTGGCTTTTGATTCTAACCATCCTTGTGGTTATGAAGTGGTATTTCATTGTGGTTTCTGTTTCCCTGATAATAATGTTGAGCATCTTCTCATGTGCTTATTGGCCATTTGAATATTATTTTTGGAAGAATGCCTGTCAGACTTTTGCCCACTTTATTTGGGTTTTCTTATTTGTCGTTGGATTCAGTTTACTGGCATTTTGAGGATTTTTACATGTATATTCTAGGTTTCTTGTGATGTCTTGGTCTGATTTTATTACCAGGGTAATACTGGCCTCATAAAGTAAGTTTGGAATTCTTCTATTTTTTGGAAAAGGCCGTGAAGAATTAGTATTAATTCTCCATTAAATTTTTTTTAAAGATTTTATTTATTTATTTCACAGAGAGAGATCACAAGCAGGCAGAGAGGCAGGCAGAGAGAGACATAGAGGAGGAAGCAGGTTCTCCGCCGAGCAGAGAGCCCGATGTGGGACTTGATCCCAGGACCCTGAGATCATGACCTGAGCCGAAGGCAGAGGCCCAACCCACTGAGCCACCCAGGTGCCCCTCTCCATTAAATTTTTGATAGAAGGGGCACCTGGCTGGCTAAGTTGGTAGAACAGGTGACTCTTGATCTTGGGGCTGTAAGTTCGAGCCCCACATTGGATGTGGAGATTACTTAAAAACAAAATTTTAGGGGGCGCCTGGGTGGCTCAGTGGGTTAAGCCTCTGCCTTCGGCTCAGGTCATGATCTCAGGGTCCTGGGATCGATCCCCGCATCGGGCTCTCTGCTTAGCGGGGAACCTGCTTCCCCCCCTCTCTCTGCCTGCCTCTGCCTACTTGTGATCTGTGTCTGTCAAATAAATAAATAAAATCTTTAAAAAAAAAAATTTAAGGACACCTGGGTGGCTCAGTTGGTTAAGTGTCTGCCTTCTGCTCAGGTCATGATCCCAGAGTCCTGGGATTGAGCCCCACATCAAAATTCTTGCTTAGCAGGGAGCCTGCTTCTCCCTCTGCCTGATGCTCCCCCTGCTTGTACTTTTTCTCTTTTTCATGTGCTCTCTCTCTCTGGTAAATAAATAAATAAAATCTTTTAAAAATATAATTAAAATAAAGATAAATAAATGTGTGTTAGAAGTCATTGGGCCTGGGACTCTCTTTGTGGCATTTATTATTATTATTATTATTATTATTATTATTATTAGTGTTTCAGTGTCTTCACTTGACTTAGGTCTATTCAGGTTTTCTATTTCTAATTCTTGAGTCAGTTTTGGTGGCTTATGTCTTTCTAGGAATTTGTCCATTTCATCCAACTTAACTAATTTGTTGGCCCAGGGTTGTTCATAGCATTCCTTAATAAGTAGTTTTATTTCTGTAGGATCAGTAGTAATATTCTCTCCTGTATTTCTGATTCTTCTCTTTTTTTTTCTTGCTCAGTCTCACTAAAGATCTGCTAAGTTGGTTGATGTTTTCAAAGAACCAGCTTGTAGCTTCATTCATTTCCTCTCTTATTTTTCTGTTCTCTATTTCATTAGTTTCCATTTTACTCTTTATTGCTTTCATTTTTCTACATGCTTCAGGTTTAATTTGGTCTGCTTTTTCCCAGTATCTTAAGGTTAGCTTTACCTGCATCCTATAAGTTCTGGTATGTTATGTTTCCATTCTAATTCATCTCAAAGTGTTGTTTGTTTGTTTAATTTTGTTGATGATCTCTTCTTTGACCCATTGGTTATTCAGGAGAGTGCTGTTTAATTTCCATTTATTTGTGAATTTCCAATAGTTTTCTCTGTCACTGATTTTTTTCTTTAAATCCTTTGTGGTCAGAGTACAAATTTGCTATGATTTCAGTCCTTTTAAAATGTATTGGGACTTGTTTTAATGACTAGCATACTGTCTGTCCTATAGAATGTTTTCTGTATGCTTGAGGAGAATGTGTGTCTTGCCATTGTTTAATGGAGTGTTCTATAGGTGTCTGTTATGTCTACTTGGTTTATCATGTTGTGCAAATCTAGGGATGCCTGGGTGGCTCAGCCAATTAAGTGTCTGACTTTGGCTCGGGTCATGATCTCGGGGCCCTGGGATTGGGCCCTGCTTTGGGCTCTGTGATCAGCGGGGAGTCTGCTTCTGCCTCTCCCTCTGCTCCTCTCCCTGCTCATGGTCTCTTTCTTACTTTCTCTCTCTCTCAGATAAATAAAATCTTAAAAAAAAAAACAACAACATTGTTGTGCAAATCTATTTCCTTGTTGCTCTTTTATCTAGTTGTTTTATTCATTATTAAAAGTGGGGTATTGAAGTTTCCAACTATTCTTGCTGAATTGCCTATTTCTTCTTTCAGCTATGTCCATTTTTGCTTCATATATTTTGGGGCTATGTTGTTAGGTATATATATTTTTGTAATTATCATATCTTCCTGACACCTTGACTATCTTATCTTTATAAGTGTCCCCCTGTATCTCCTAGCTACAATTTTTGTCTCAGAGTCTATCTTATCCAATATTAGTATAGCCATGCCAGTTCATTGTTTTTAAGGATTTTATTTATTTATTTATTTGAGAGAGAAAGAGTGTGACAGAGAGAGCCTGAGCAGAAACAGTGAGGGAGAGAGAAGCAGAAGCAGACTCCCCGCTGAGCAGGGAGTCCCACTTGGGACCTGGGATGACGACCTGAGCCAAAGGCAGATGCTTAACCCACTGAGCCATCCAGGCACCCCTCCAGTTCCCTTTTGATTACTGCTTGCATGGTATATTTTTTACTGGCCTTTTGTTTTTGACCTATTCGTATCTTTGACCATACATTGTGTCTCTTGTAGACAACATGAGGTTGGATTGTGTTTTCTTATCCATTTTGCCAATGTCTGCCTTTTAACTCAGAGTTTAATCCATTTACATGTAATTAATTACTGGTAAGAAGGACTTTTGCTATCTTGCTGTTTGTTATTTTTGTTAGCTGAATGCCTAAACTATGCATTGGGCCCTTCATATACATCATCACATTTTTTTTTTCATCATCACATTTTTTAAAAGATTTTATTTGTTTGGGAGAGAGAGAGCACAAGCACGGGGAGCAGCAGGCAGAGGGAGAAGCAGGCTTCTTGCTGAGCAAGGAGCCCAGCACGGAATTCGAGCCCAGCACCCTGGGATCATGACCCAAGCCAAAAGCAGATGCTTAACTGACTGAGCCACCCAGGTGCCCCTCATCATGACATTTTTAAGACTCATTTTATGATTATGGAATCTAAAACCTGGGAAAATGCATTTATGATCCCAGTCAGGGGGGAAGCTGAGCCATGAGCCCTCAGCTCCATGAGTGGCTTCCTCACTGGTCCTCTGGCCTCCACCCTTCCCCTCCCAGGGCCAATCTACACATGCAGCCAGAGAGACCCTTTAGAAGTGTAACTCTGATCATAATTCCCTTGCTGATGTTCCAGTGACTCCCACTGAAAGTCCTAACATGCGTCTTAATGAGAGACTCCTGGTTAGTGAATGTGTTCAAATGCAGAGTTGTCTCCGCCCCACCCGGGTCACCTGAGTGAGAGCTCAGCGCTGTTGACTCCTGGTGTCATTTGCTGGCCTTTGAGCATGTTCCAGCCCAGGCCTTGGTAGAGCCAAGAGGACTTCTTGGATCATGACCAACAACAGACAGCTCCTGGACACGACATACCTTTTCCTCCAGCCACACCCAACTTCACATTTTCCCCTCTTCTTCCCCTTTAGTCCATGAAGACTCTGCAGGATTTGCTTACTGACATTTGTGCACTCAAGGGCACCACTGAAACTCTCAGAGAGGATCTGGACACACTGAAGGACATGGTTGACAAGGTAGACCCTCTCCAGCATCCTCTGTGCTGGCCATGCTGCTTGGACCTCAGGTGGTTGGGGTGACAGTACACATCTAGGGAGCCTGTTTTTTGTCAAAGGACACAGCTATGAGAGCAGGAGAAGGGGTTTGACATGGCCCAGCCAGTTGGCCCATCCCACTAAACTCTCCATGGCTTCCACCCTTCTGTGTTAGGACATCATTTGTAGATAACAGAAACCTGGTTCATCCTGGCTCAGGCAGAAGAGAATTTAGTGTCTCATTTTCTTTTTCTTTTTTTTTTTTCTTTTCTTTAAAAACTTTATTTATTTATTTGACAGAAAGAGGGATCACAAGTAGGCAGAGAAGCAGGCAGAGAGAGAGGGGGAAGCAGGCTTTCTGCTGAGCAGAGAGCCGGATGTGGGGCTCGATCCCAGGACCCTGGATCATGACCTGAGCCGAAGGCAGAGGCTTTAACCCACTGAGCCACCCAGGCGCCCCTAGTGTCTCATTTTCTAAAAAGTCCATGGTTACCTTCAGGTACCACCAAATCTAGGTGCTCCATCAACATCTCTCTGTCAGTGATGTTTTCCTGTGGGTTGGCTTCATTCTCAGTTAGGTATTCCCGAAGACTCCAGGCTGGCCATTCACCAACATAGCAGAAAGAGAACAGCTTTTCCTATTCTGTAAAGTTCCGTTCACCCTGAAAAGTAGAATAAACCTAGCACAGGCATACAGTCTATCTCCCTTGGGAGTCACAAGGACATCAGCTCAGGTATATACTCACTCCTTACCATGATGTAGAAGGATGCAGAGTCCCTGAAGCATGAGTCATTGGTGAGTCAGAGCTGGGCTCAGAGGCCAATACTGACAGGATGGAATTGCAGCTAAGATTTTACAACTTGCCCCCAGATAGCATGGTTTAATGTATTAGCCCAAATTCACAGGTCAGTGTACACGTTTGATTGTCATGGCAACTGTGAGAACTTGGTCTGGGTTGCTTCCTCTGAGAAGAAAGGGCATCACAAAACACTAAAAAAACCCCTACACAAAACCAAAAAAAAAAAAAACAAAACCACCCCAAACAAACCAAAACACTAAAACGGTTCCTTCAACAAATCTGTTGGAGGGAAAAATGCCTCCTCAGCCTGCTCTTGGAGATTCTTAATGTACATTTTTTTGCCCACTAAAGGCTGAGAAGTCCTGTAGTATAGAAGCCCACTAAATACTTTTTAAGGCCAGCATTTTCCAAACTTACTTCCCCAGGAAACCCTCTTCCACCCCTTTCTCACTCACTAGGAAACACTTGCTTTGGGATCTGTTCTTCCTTCTCCAACTCCGTCACCTAGAGCTTAGTCCTTGTCTTTGAGCTGTGGGGGAAGCAGGGCCGGGACCAGAACCTCCACCCCTGGCCCATGGACTTGGCTTATTTGACAGATGCAGCCAGAAGTAATGGATTCTTTGCTTGAAGATCTGAAAGGACAGAACAGGAGGATGAGTGCGCTACAGCGGGAAGTGGTGAGAGCCTCCACTTCCCTTCCCAGTCCCCTGACCTCTATCCCCGGGGTGCTGGGGACAGGGAAGAATAAGGAAGAGGACACAATCTAGAAGGCACATGTGGACAAAGGAGCCACCCGAGGGCATCACCCCTCATTCTCAACCTCCCCTTCTGCCCCCCAGGTTGCTCTCCAGAGCAAAATCCTCACCATCCCCAAAGCTGACGACGTGGTACTCTGGAGCAGCCTCCACGAGGCCATGTTTGGCCCCGTGAGTGGAGGAGGAAAAGGGGGGCTGCAGCGGAGGGCTGGGGAAGGCAGGGTGACCACTGAGCTGGCCTGGAGCAGCCCTGGCTAGCCTTGCCCCCTCTCCTGCAGGGAACGTCTACAGGACGAGCTGGTCCAACACAGATTGAGGATTCAGACCTGTGGCAGTTGGTGGGGCAGCTCCCAGAGATAGGTCATCCTAAGACCGAGCACCTTGAAGCTGTCGGTCCTGTCCAGATCTCAGAGGCCATCCAGAGCCCCATGTTACTGGAGACCGGCTGGCATTATGAGACCCCAGGGCAGCTACAGGAGGAGGAATCTGCCCAAGACGTTCTGCTCGCCGAGGCCCAGGGGCCAGGGCAGCCTACAGGGCTTGAGCCCGGGGCTGTGCCCACACCGGGACCACAGCCTGAGGCCATGCCTGCTCTGGGGCCTGTGCTGACATCCGGTCTGGCACCTGGGTTCCCATTCCTACCTGGGTCTCCGTTCATAGCTGGCCCTGGCCCTGGCCCTTGGCCTGCCCTCAGACCTGGGACTGGCCCTGGACTTGGGGTTGCCCCCGAGCCTGGGACTGCCCCCAGGCTTGCATCCGTCCCAGGGCTTCAGCCCCCACCACGAGAACGCTGGCCTCCTCCCAGAGGCTTGTCCAGGGCTGGCACGTGGCCCTTCTGGGGCTCAGACTTCTTGCAGCCCGCACAGTCCCAGGTCTTCAGGGCCCCACCGCCAGCCAGGGAGTTTGGCTCAGCGTGGCCCCCTCCACTGCAGTCACAGTCTACACAAGCAGACGTGCACCTGCTCCCAGCCGTCTCAGAAGCTGAGGAAGACTATGTATCTGAGGATGTGCCAGCCCCTCCCGCCAGGGCCCCCAGGATTGGGGCCCCTAGGGCTGGGACCCCCAAAGAAGCGCCCGACAAGGCACCCAGCAAGGCTCCCCAGTCTGCCCTTCAGCACCTGAGGACCACCGCGGCCCTTGCGGCTGCCGCCGCGTCCTCCTACGCAGCTGCTGCCACCTCAGCAGCCCGGAGAGCCGAGGTTGTCGCCAAGGCTGTCAGGGATGCCCCTGCCACCAAATTGGCCACCATAGCAACGGCCATGGCTGCATCTGGGCCCTTAGGGACCTTCGCAGACATCCTGGGTGCGGGCTCTTCCCGTGGGGCCTCAGCTTTAACGGAGGACACAGAGGTGGAGGACGACCTCTCTTCTGTGTACACTGTGGCCAGCCTCCCTCCTGAAAGGACCCTGTCCCAGGTCATGCTGGCTGCCCAAAAGGCCGTGACCCCCGAAGACAAGAAGACGGCCGTCAGGTACTCCATGGGCTGTATAGCCCAGATGCCCGTTAGACACGACTTCCTGAAGGAGGAGTTTGCCCAGCTGTCATCCGCCCTTCAACAGCGCTTGAATTACCTAGGTAGGTCCGGTGTGCTCCAGGCCCTCCCTCCCTGCAGACTTCCAGAAGTCCCTCGTCTCCTTTGTTTCGCTCCCCCAATGAAAGCTGTATTAACCATTAGCCATTCATTCCTTTGGCTTCAGCATTTGCCTCTTACTAGTGTCTCCTTTCACCACGAATGTACCATGAGGTCTTTCTTCTCACATTGGAGAGGGGTGGTTAGGGTCTAGCGTTGGCTGTGAAGAAGGAAAATCACACATCACGATGACTCTGGAAAACTCCCTTCCCACAGCCTGTACAGCACAGCCTAACATGTTTCGATAAGTCTGGATCTGGCCGATGACCCACTGAACAGACCAAAGATGATGTGGTCTGAGTGGGGTTAGGAGCTTCTGCTGGGCAAACAGATGTGCCCTTAAAGACCACGGATGCTCTGGGGTGGCAGTAGAAACGGTAGATTTACGCTCCCATTTCATGCCCGTGATGGGCAAAGTGCTTGCTGAGGGGAGTGGAGGCCAGAATAGCTTTGTCCAGTCATTTTCAACCTTGTGTCTCCCCACTCCATCGTCAGCATGTGGGGGTGGGGCAGGGCGGGCTGCACCCCACCCCTGGAGCGTCTGACTTGGTTGGCTGGGCAGAGCCCAAGAATTGCATTTCTCACTCATTCCAGCAGTTGCTGCTGCTGCTGCTGGCCCAGGGGACCCACTCTGAAGCCATTGCTATTTGAATCGTTGTCTTTTTTTTTTTTTTTTTGCACCTTGCCAAGCGCCATAGTTGGATTAAGTCAAATCTGTAGGTGGCGTTACCTCTAATTGGCGGTGCTGTTCCACAGATCTTGAAAAGAAGACATCAATCTTCAACCAGCTAAACTAGGTCGCTCTCAGTGAGTACTGGTGTGCAGCTGAGAATATGGTAGTAGTAGATTGAAATTTAGAAGGTAAAGCCGTAGGAGCCCAAATTCTCCCTCTGACCAGCTGCCATTGTGGTTCAGAAGACTCAAGATCGTTGGTAAACGTATTTTGGCTTGGATTTCTCCTACCTTCCTCAGTGTATCCATTACCTTTTAACCTTTTCTGGAACTTTATATACGGTACTTTTTTTTTTTTAAGTTCCCTCTTTCTTTGTTAAATCATCCTTTCTGTCTCTTGATGAGATAATGCCCGTCATATATTCTCATAAATAAGGTGTTTTGTAGTTCTGCTTAGGACCTTGTTTTTGAATCAGTGTCTATTCCCAACACAGGGCTCAAACTCACAATCCCGAGATCAAGAGTCATATACTTTACCGCCTGAGCCAGCCAGGCACCCCAGCTCAGGGCCCTTGCTGGGAGGGGAGTAAGTTCCAGAGAGGCCTCCCTAAGCTTGTGCCGTCTAATATGATAACCGGGAGGCACACGTGGCTGTCAGGCCCACGACATGGGGCGAGGCCCAGCACAGACGTGCTCTGAGTGTGAAACACACGTCAGATATGGAAAGCTTGGTATATGTGCTGCCGAAGCGAGCACAGATATGGAAAGCTTGGGGTGAAAACAAGAACATAAACTATCTCACTTTTTTTTAATCCCATATTGAAAGGGAACTATTTTGAATATATTGGGTTAAAGAAAATATCAAAATTAATTTTGCCTGCTCCTTTTAAAATTTTTTTCAAAGATTTATTTATTTTAGAGAGAGAGAGAGAGAGAGAGAGAGCACACAAGTTGGGGGAGGGGCAGAGGGAGAGGGAGAGAGAGACTCGGACTCCTGGCTGAGCACAGAGCTCGACGCGGGGCTCAATCTCACGATCTTGAGATCATGACCTAAGCCAAAATCAAGAGTCAGGTGCTTAAGTGACAGAGGCAGCCAGGCACCCCTCCTTTTTTTTTTTAATTTGTTTAAGGAATGTGGCTACTAGAAAACTTTGAATGACCGCAGAGACCCCCAGGCTCACAGTCTCTTGCTTTTGGACAACGCTACCTCCGACAACTCCTTTGAGAAGCAGGTGGAACTCTAGATGAAGCCTCTTTCCCCATCCTTGCCCCTGACAGCCACCCCCTCCTTCACTTTCAGCTAATTTGGGAGCCTCTGCCAAGCTTGGGTCGACAGTGGACGTGCTGCAGGAAAAGATCGGGAGCCTCCAGAGATCCAGGATGAAGGTGTGTGTGCCCCAGGCAGAAAGAGCTTCCCGGATGGGACGGCAGCTTGAGGCAGGCTGATGGCAGAGTCCCTGACCCAGGACAGTGTTGGTCTGTCCTGTAGCTGAAAGGCACCCTGGGAGAGTAGGTGGGACCAAAGAGGGAGACCTGATGGGTGCAGAGGTCCCAGTGGGTTGTGCCTGGGTGGCTCCCCTGGTGGGAGCTTTAGGGGGACACCGAGGTGGCAGGTCCAAGAGACACACTGGCCTGGTACACTGTCGATGCCCCTCCCCAGCCATGGTGACCTTAGGGGCAGAGGCCCTTTGTGTCCATGTCTCCCCCTCTTAGGAAGAGGAACTCGAGAGAATTTGGGGCCACCAGATAGAGAAGATAAAACATCACCACATCGTGCTGGACAGGGCAGTGGAGAAACTCCAGATTCGCTTGGATGACTTAAAGGTCTGGGGTTCGGGCGGGCAGCTGCGGGGGAGTCCTCCGAATGTTTGGACATTCGGGCCCTCCCCGAAGGTTTCACCGACCCACTGAAGGTGGGGACACCAGGGACTGCGCACTGGTATTTTAGTCTCTGAATTACACTTCAGCGGAAGCAAACACATCCCACCACGCCCACCTCCACCTCCACCTATAAACCAGAGAGCCCAAGCAATGTCTTGTTACAGACTGCTGGGTCACCCGCTCCCAGAAGGGTGCCCGGCGTGGAGCAAATGCTCAAAATGTGCTGAAAGAATCAGAGAATGAACAAGAGGATTTCTTGCATCAACCGTTAGGCTTGTAATGTTTCCCCTAACCCAGCTCATTTGAGAATTCTCAGCACGGGGACGAGGAGTGGGGGAGGGGCAGGGTATCTTTCTGGAATGGCAGATTTGCCAACACCACAATTTCGTGGACAGACACAGAGCGCCTTGCTGGGGCTCACCTGGCCCAACACCCCCTCCTCTGGGCCTGGAGGGTTTGACTCAGCTGGCCGGACATCCCTGGCCTGATGGTCCTCAGGACCCGTCCATTCTGAGCCTTGTCTCAGAGGTGTCCCCAACCTTTGGAGGAGGACTCTGAATCATTCGCAGCAGGAGGAGATGACCTTCCCTCAGAGAGTAAGACACGAAAGCCCACACAGAACCACTGGAGATGGCTTCCATGGGGGCTTCTGATTCCAAGTCAGAGGCTATTGGTGGGATACGTTAGGATGTAGGAGGCACAAGAGGAAGGCCTGTCTTCCCCTCGCGAGACCATGATGCATAGGAATCAGGCTGGGACACACGCAGGGCGACTTGGAGGGGAAAGAACTCCTGAAGGGGGAGCCCCTTCCTAGCCTGAGCAAGGGTGCCGGGTGTGGGCAGAGGGGCCGCTGGCTTGGTGAATGCCGAGACTGGGAACTCCCTGTCTCCTGCCAGCTCCAGGCCCTCACTGCCACCGCCCTGCAGAGAAGCTGGGCTGCTGTTCCCGTCCGGCGTTCCGTTCGGGGGCCCTCCCAATGGAGACCAGAGCCAGTGCCTGGGGCACGTGTCGTGTGTGCCCAGCACTCTGTCCCCGTCCTGCGCCGCAGCAGGGACCAGCTCACCGTCTGCCTCCAAGTAGCTGTCGCTTGTTGAGGGGAACTGCAGAGGACGAGGCCCGACCAAACAGTGCCAGACAGAACAAGTCAGCCTTTGTGCTTCCTGCCTCTGTGCCGACAGGAATCCGTCGCTTCTCAAAGTTAACTCTGGAAGGACCTGGAGCAGGGTTCTGTATACGACACACACTTCGTTAAATATTCCCTAAATGAATATAGGCGATAAGAAATCAGCAGCCTTGGGGAGCCTGTCCTAGAGAAACGAGGGAGGCCAGAGAAATGCTGCGGTTCTCTTGCAACATCTGGAGCTGTGAAGAAACGCGGCAGCCTCTGCTTTCCCTGGATGCCCGCAAGAAACGTCGGGAACAGAGCAGGTGGCACGAGAAACCCTCTTATTCATTCACCGAGTCATTCAGCCAGTGCTACACGCCTCCACTTTGCACCAGGCGCTCGGCTGGCGGCTGGCAGCAAGACAGTCACCATCCAGGCCCTTCGGGGTGGCGGGGGGTGGGGCAGTGGTGTATTTGTTTATTTTTAACCAGAGTGTAATTTATACACCGTAAAATGCCCAAGTCGTAAGTCTAAGTAAGGGCTGGGTCCACATCTGCCTGTTTGTGTAGCCACGCCCTCACCATCCAGTCGAAATGGAAACGTTTCTGTCCTTGGCGTGCTTCTCTCAGAGAGTTTCCCACCGAGAACCCAGCCAGAAAATCAGTGCAGGCAGAACTCTTTCTTCCGGACCTTCCGGAAAACGTGATTTGCGTTTTGCACTGGGACAGGGGTCTTCCCCTAAGCCCGAGGCTGCATTCCAAGACCCCTCCTGGAGCAAGCAGTGACCTTTGGAGTTTGGGCTTGGTGCGGGAGGGCACGGATAAGGTGGCCCGTGGCTACGGAGTGCTGACTCTGCCATAATTAGCCAGAAGATGCCACTTCTTGTCTCTCCAGGCTCTGGGAGAGGCGTGGGATTAGTGCCCCAGGAAAGAGCAGGAAACAGATCCAGGCCTTCTAGAAGCCAGCCAGGCTCACGTGGCTGGGAGGCGGCCGGCTGTTGGGGTTCAGGGCACTGGCTGTGGTTTAGATAGGCCTGGCTTTGTGCCGCCACTGTCAGTGCTGCCACTGGATGTGTTTGTTTCCTGTGGCTCCCATAAGAAATGATCATAAACTGCATTCCTTAAAACACGAGGGACCCGGACCATCACAGTTCTAGAGGCTAAAAGCCCGAAATCAAAGTGTTGGCTGGGCCTTGCTTGACCGAAGGCTCCAGGGGAGGAGTCTTGTCTCTTCCAGTTTCTGGTGGCTCCAGGCATTTCCTGGCTTGTGGCCACCTCCCTCCAATCTCTGCTTCCCTCTTCCCTCGGCTGTCTGTCTTCACATCGCCGCCTTTTAAGGACACCAGTCAATAGATTTAGGGCCTGTCCTGACCTAGTATGACCTCATCTTAACTAGTACATCTGCAAAGACCCCATTTTTTAATAAGGCCACGTTCACAGGTTCTGGGCAGGTATGAATTTTGGGGAAGACATTAATCAACCCAGTACACAGGTAACCCCAGCAGTAGAAGTTAGAAGATCTCAGCTAATCACTCTTCTTTGTTAGGTTTTTTTTTTTTAAGATTTTATTTATTTATTTGACAGACAGAGATCACAAGTAGGCAGAGAGGCAGGCAGAGAGAGAGGGGGAAGCTGGCTCCCCGCTGAGCAGAGAGCCCGATGCGGGGCTCAATCCCAGGACCCTGGGATCATGACCTGAGCCGAAGGCAGAGGCTTTAAACCACTGAGCCACCCAGGTGCCCCTGTTTTTAGGTATTAACTAGAAAGAGCCAAGTGGAGATGTAAATATTAATGTTGGGCCTGATGATTCCAAAAGGTCAGGGGTCCCCGCTGTTGTGGGGTTGGAGGAAGCAACCTGACTTGAGGCCAAAACAGGGCCTTCTTTCCATACCTCCACTTCCCATTCTAGACCTTGGGACCCATCTTCTGGATGTGATGGAACTTGGCATTTATTAGACTTAGGTTCAACTTCAGATAACATAACCTCCCCCCAAAATAACTGGCTTAAACCAGGTGTAAGTTTATTTCCCATTCCCATTCAAGAAACTTGGTCCAGAGGTGGTGTAGAACTCCATGGTGCATGACTCCCATTCCTAAGCTCACCTCAAGGTACAAGATGGCTGCTGGTGCTCCAGTCATTATCTCTACATTCAAGCCAGCAGCAAAGAGGGCATACTTCATTAAATAGTTATTTTTCCTACCTACTTCCTACCCACTTTGATTTACACCCCAGCGGGTCATACTGAGCTATAAAGGGGTGTGTGAAATGAATTCTTGATTCTGGGCTGCCAGGTACCAGCTGAAAGTTTGGGGACTCTGTTCCTGAGGGTGAGAGGGAAACCAGATACAAAGCGAGAAGCAGAAGCCTATTTCTAGCTTTGGAGGAAACATGACCTCACCTTCTGGGGACATGGCTCAGGAGGTGTGAGGCTCTGAGACTCTTCCCAAGCAGGTTAGCTGCTGCTACTGTCACAGGGAGGGTGCAGTACGTAGAGAGCACGCAGAGTTAATGGACAGAGCTGGTTCCTCATGGAGTGGGGGATGGGATATAAGAGTTTTCCTCTGACACTGGGGCACAGCCTGTGTGGCATATGAGTGTTTGGTTGACAAATAGACTCAGGTCTCACCAGACCCCATTACAGATACGAGCTGAACTTGCCTTAGACTTCCAGGGAACCAAAGTGTTAGCACTGATTTACATTCTCCTTCCTCAAGTCTGCCTTCATGTGCAGCCAAGTTCCTATGATGCCACCTCCAAGGGGACACCTGGTCCCAAGGCTCATGTTCCTTCCCTTCTGATCTGGGCACCTGGAGTCCACACCTGGTGTGCCCACCCTACCTGCTAGCCACCTGGCCCTATTGTCCCTTCCTAGCACATGGTAAGGGCAGCCATGGGAGGAAGATGTCATCCAAAGGCCTCCAGGGATGGCAAACATGCCCTTTGCTTCTGTTCTTAGGTTGTCCATGCTCAAATTAAAAACCTCGAAATGCATAAGGTGGACAAAAGTATAATGGAGCAGGAGTTGAAAGAGGTGAGTGGGGGCGCCTGGGTGCCTCAGCCAGTCGAGCATCTGCCTTTGGCTCCGGTCATGATCCCAGGGTCCTGGGATCGAGCCCCACATCAGGCTTCCCACTCACTGGGGAGTCTGCTTCTCCCTCTGCCCCCCACCCCGTCATGCTTGAGTTCATGCTTGTGCTCATGCATGCTCTCTCTCTCTCTCTCTCTCTGAAAGGAATAAAATATTTAAAAAGGAAGAAAGAGATGAGTGAGCAGAGTTTCCTCCCTCCTTCTGCCTGTCCATCCTGAGCCCAGGTCTCCCACCCAGGGGAATGGAGTCATGCAGTCAATACAAAACCTGGCAGAGAACCTCCCACAGTTTCCTTTCATCTTTCTCATTTAGAAGGGCTGGGGAAGCTTCTCCAAAGTTGTCCAATCAACTTCTATTTTCAGTGACTCAGGATTAATGACAATTTATTATGTGAACTTAAAAATCATGCACCAGCTTCTCCATACACAGGAAGACCTTGGCTTAGACCTGACAGTCATGTTTGAGCCAATTAGACCCCAAGTTTGAATTTAAGCCAAGGCCGGGCATTCAGGATCCTGGACTAAAAAACACAGACCAGAGCAGTCTGATCCCCCAGCTTCCTCCTGCTCCTGCCACAGCATCCCTGGCTCCCTGAGTTCCCTGTGTCTCTAGAAAGCTGACAGGAGCACCCTGGCAGGCAAGGCAAGCCGAGCCGACCTGGAGACAGTGGTGACAGAGCTGAATGAGATGATTCAGGGAATGCTCTTCAGGGTCGTGACCCATGAGGATGACTGGAAGAAAGATGTGGAGAAGCTGACCAAGGACCTGAGCACCAAGGTGAGTACCCTGTAGCAGCCATCATCTGCTGCGTAACAAGTAAACCTGAAATGTGACACCTTGAAACGACAAGTCCTCATAGTTTCTGAGGGACAGGAATTGGGGAGCAGCTTAGCTGAGGGACTCAGATTTCCCATATGGCTGTGGTCAAGATGATATCTGGGACTCCAATCCTCTGAAGAGCCATTTCCAAGATGGCAGCCTCCTCTGGCCGTCAGCAAGACGCCTCACTTCCTTGCCACTCAAACTTCTCAAGTCTGTTTGAGCACCATCACAACATGGCAGCCGACTTCCCCAGAGCAAGTGGCCCAGGAGAGCCCAACAGAAGCTGCACGCACTGTCTTCCATGACTTAGCCACACCGCATCATTTCCATAGCGTCCTATGGTTCCACAGGCCAGCCCTACTCCATGTGAGAGTGAATGTTCATGGCAGCATTACTCTTAACAGCCAAAAAATGGAAGCAGTCCCAAAGTCCATGAACAGATCGATGGATAAGTAAATTGTGGTCTATCCATCCAATGGAATGTCATTCAACCATAAGAAGAAATGAAACTCCGATTCATGCTGCCCCTTGGGTATGACCCTTGCAGACGTGATGCTGAGTAACAGAAGCCAGACACTGAAGGCCATAGATGGTGCGATTCCATTTGTACGAAATGTCCAGAACAGGCAAATCCAAGACAAGAACTGGATTAGTGGGTGCCTACCCTGGGGGTTTGGAGCTCACTTTGCAACTCTAACAGCATGTATTAGGTGGATGAACCTTGTCCTAAGCTTTGTCATTTTCCCTTTCGTTGACCCCCTCACTGTTTCAGCTTAATGTTGTTATACTCTCTGTAACTTTGCGGCAGGTCATTTTCTGGAGTGAAGCGGGGTGTGAATTAGTTGACTAACCGCTCTTCTCTTCCCTTTGGCTATTTGCAGCTGGTCCACAGTGATTTGAATGGTCTGAAGAAAGACATGGATGAGATCTGGAAAGTACTCAGGAAGCTCCTGATTGAAGGCCTCCGATTTGACCCTGATAGCGCTGCCGGCTTTAGGAAGTGAGCCCCTCCTGGGTAGGGGTGCAGCTCCCAGGGGTGGGGGAGACCCTCTCTCCAGAGAGAAAACCAGAGGGGAATCCTAGCAGATTCTGGGAGGGAGGATTCCAGACGTGTGTGGACCCAGGGAGAAGGGGTGGGGCTTCCCAGCTTGGGGGAGAGGGTGAAGGTGGGATGGGGCTAAGGGTTCCCAGGGTCTCTGGCCTTGGCTGTCCAGGGGCTGCAGGGACACATCTGCTCCAAAGCCCTCTTGCTACAAATGAAACCAAGGCTCAGGGAGGGTAGGGGCCATGCAAGGCCTCATAGGGAGCCTGGGGATCACCGTCTAGAGCCCTGTTGCCATGTCCCCCACCCCATCCAGATAAGAGTCCCAGGTGGAGGGGGATTCAGTGTTGAGGAGGGAAGGGTCTCCTGTCCTCAGATGACCCCTCATCTCTCCCAATATCTCTTGTGAAGGGTAGCTTTCCAGAAGGCCCCTCATTTTAAAGACCTCCATTGTGTTTGCAGCAGGAAGCTAAACTATACACCTTGTGCCGCCACCTATGTCCCCCGTAGCAGGGGGCAGCGGAGTGAAGTTGAGCTGAGCAAGGCCAGATCAGAGGGGGAGTAGGGTGTGGAGGGAAGTCCTGACCCTGAGGCACAGACAGACCTGCCCCCACCGTGCAGCAGCTGATGGCTGGCTGTCTTGCAGGAAACTGTTTGAGCGGGTGAAATGCATCTCCTGCGACCGGCCGGTGGAGCTGATGACGGGCCCGTGAGTACCGCCGCCAGGGGGCGCCCACGCCCACCTTCTCTGGGTTCCTCACATACGCTCCAGCGTAGGTTCTAGGTCCGTCACTTACCTGTTCGTCCGCCGGTATACATCATTCCGTACCCTTCCTTTCATTTGCTCCCCGTCCCGGGCAGGGGCACGGGCATCCCCTCCTTCGCCAGCCCTGCCTGGCACCCGCTATGTCCCAGTGTCAAGGTCGACTCCAAAAGCAAAAGGATAGAAGGAAACCGGGGAAAGATGAACTCTGTGGGACTTCCTTGCAGGGTGTATTTTGAGCTTAATACTTTTTACTTAGGTGAAATTCGCGTGCACACACCATCTTAAAGGGAGCGGTTCAGTGTTGTCTGGTGCACATTCACGATGATATGCAACAATCACTTCTAATTCCAAAGCATTTTCATCTCCCTGCAAGGAAATCCCAGACTCATGAGCAGCCCCCACGCCATTGCCTCCTCCCCTCGGCCCCTGACAACCACTGACTTTCTGTTCCTATGGATTTGCCTGTTCTGGACACTCCGCACAAAATAAGTCATTCCGCCTATGAGCCGGTTCTGGCCTCTCTGAGCATCGTGTTTTCAAGTTTCATCCACATTGCGGCAGGTGTCAGGGCCTCACTCCATCTTTACGGCTGAATCACACCACGTTGTGGGAGCCGCTCACATTTTGTTTACCCGCTTACGCGCTGATGGACGTTTGGGTTGATTCATCTTTTGGCTGTTGTGATCAGTGCTGCTATGAACGTGCGTGTACGTAGAGTGGCTCAAACACCTGCTTCCAGGTATTTTGGGTATAAACCTGGAGGTGGTGGAAGAGCTCATGTGGTCCTTCAACGGTTAACTCTTCGCAGAACCACCCAACAACACTCCCACAGGGTTGTTGTGGGTTTTTGTTTTTGTTTTTTTTTAAGATTTTATTTATTTAGGGGCGCCTGCGTGGCTCAGTGGGTTAAAGCCTCTATCTTCAGCTCAAGTCATGATCTCGAGGTCCTGGGATCGAGCCCGGCTCGGTTCTCTGCTCGGCAGGGAGCCTGCTTCCCCCTCTCTCTCTGCCTGCCTCTCTGCCTACTTGTGATCTCTGTCAAATAAATAAGTTAAATCTTTGGGGAAAAAAAAGATTTTATTTATTTATTTGACAGAGAGAAATCACAAGTAGGCAGAGAGGCAGGCAGAGAGAGAGGGAAACAGGCTCCCAGCTGAGCAGAGAGCCCCATGCAGGGCTCAATCCCAGGACCTTGCAGGGCTCCATTCCAGGACCCTGGGATCATGACCTGAGCCAAAGGCAGATGCTTAACGACT